TAAAAATGCCTCGAGCAATTCAAACATGTTGAGAAACATGCCACAGTTCTAAGCTCTCATATTTTTCCAAATCTCATCACATAAGCATAGGGAGTATATGCTATATGGCAATTTATAATCTATTACCCTTACGTACCATCACTGTGCCGCGATGATGAACCTATAGACGAGTATTAGAGTATTTTTGCTACCCTCACTATAAGATACATTCTTATAATTTCAAAATACAAAAACCAGAATTTCGAATGCACTTGGCCAGATATAATAGCTATGGAAAGCAAATTTCAAGTGAATAAAGTCGGATTGTAATAGGTTAAAAGAACACACCAAGGAAACTACAAGCCACGACATTAATATAGCTCCGAGCCTCAATGGAATCAAGACCAAGGGCAATGATATTGAAGTCATTATAAAATCAAATATCTTTATCCTCAATTCGGCAAAAATGGGGCACAATGTTCACACCACTAATTCTTTCCATGACAAACTTAGTTGCGACCTCAGCCTTCGGCTTACCAACATCTTCCAGCCTACAAGTATTATTAACACCCGGAATTACAAAAATTCCCAAATAGCAGAGAAGAAGTAGACATCCAAACTGCAGAGCCACCAAACAGAAGAACAAGGTCGTAAAGCAAATAAAATTATGGAAAAAATCAATTTGGCATGAAAAAAATAGACACATAACCAAATATATTTATGATCTTTTTGCAATACAGCCACGCATCTTTCTGTGATCGGTTTTTATTTTGATAAATGAGAAAACCTCACCAGAATATGAAACACCCAAAATAGAACATAATAAAAGAAGAAAAACCTGAAGAGGAATTGACGGTTGAGATTGGTGACTTCAATCCGATTCATGTCGATGACCTCAAGGTTTTTAAAACCCGAGAGAGCCAAATCCTTGAGCAGCTCACAACCCAATCCTCCTGCTCCCACCACCAAAACTCTTGCAAATCATCCCGTAACTGCAAATACCCCCATAAATTATTTCTGAAAATCCCGAGTTTCAGGTTAAAAGAGAAGATAAAAAATTTTGTATTCTGTTTCCCTGAATAATAACACATACATCCAGACATCACATTTCAACAGAATCTAATTCCCTTAATCCAAGAACAAGCATTCGATGAAGCCAATTCAATCGAGAAATCACCAAAACAACCCTAAGAGCGGAAGAAAACATGAATTTCGACGGAACAATGAAGATTCGATAGAAATTTTAAACATACACAGAGAAGGATCCACCAACATGATCAATCACACACAAAAAATCCTAAAAGGAATTACTGATGCGGCTTTTTCTTTATTTTGTCCTTCTAACTTGGAATAATATTGATCCCTTTGCTGCTGGATCAGCGTTAACTGCATTAAACATTCACACTTCTCGCTGTTTCTGGTATCTAACTCTGCTCTTTGGTAGTGAATTCAGGTCATATTTTTATCATCTGTCCAATTACCTGGTTTTTTGGATCATCATAGATTATTGAGTTTCAACATGTTCTATAATGGAAGAACACAGAAATTGATTTAACAATTCTATATAGGTTAAAACATGTGGCATGAAAGGTTTTCATTCTTATCATTTCATATGTTGATTTGAATTTCTGCATGCTTACTTGAGTCTTGAGTACTGAACATAATTTATTTATGCTATCATGAAAAAGTAAGAGAAATGCACTATGTTACTTGAGTATTGGACTTAAGTTATATATGTTATGCTTGAAATATTATTTGTGTCCAATTGGTCAAGCTTTTCGAAGAAAAGTTCTTATTTTACTTGTTTTTCTTCGTATAAATATTCAGTTCTATCATTTCTATCTGCTTACATAATGTAAGGGATTTCCATTTTTGCAACACATTCAAGGTTTTGGAGCTCTGGACCAAGAGAAATTTTAGATGTGATTGTGGAAACTCAAAATTTGGAGAGTTCTCATGCAAGCTTTCCCCAAATAAGGATGTGGAGAATACAGAGAATTCATATAATCACAACTTCAAAGGTCTATACTGCACCTGCAATTGCCCCTATCCAGATCCAGATCTCAAGGAACAAGTAGAAATGATGCAGTACTGTATGTGTGAGGACTGGTTTCACGAGGAGCATATCAGTCTCAGCTCTCCCAATGAGGTTGGTAGGCTGCATCTCACTGAATGTACTCCATTCTTGTATCATGGTTTTTTCTTCACTAGTTTTTGCCTAAATATCCTATAAAATTGTACAATACTTTGGTTTCACTGTTAAAATTATTGGCAAATCTAGATATGACCTATTGAACAAGCCCATATTATTGTTTGCCACTGTTAAAATTATAAAATGTGCAGTAGGCTGCTCATGATCAACTTTTTGTGAATACTGCTGCTGCCTCCTTTAGAGTTCAATTCATATTAAGCTTGATGCCACTGACACTGCTCTGGCCTGAAATATTATCTTTAAAGATGCTTATTTTCCTTATAAAGATTAAAAAGTTGGATTAGTAATGGAATTGACTGCATTAAATACTCCAAAGTTACCGTACGGGTTATAAATCATTTTTTTAATAAAACTAACAGTTTATATTTACATCAGAAAATGTGTATATTTATTATATGAATAATTTAAAATTATTTGACTTTATTTATGATTTTTTATATATATTTATAATTTTTTTTTTAAAATTATATGTCGTCCCCTTTTCGTCCCCGTACCCTGTAATTTTAAAAATTGCCATTTCTCGTCCCCGTTCCCATCTCCGTATCCGTCCCCGTATCAGTATCAATGCAACATAGTTCAAATGTGATGTAATTAGTAACAAGAATTAAAGAAAATTCACAAATGACCCATACAGGAAGTTATGGATAAATATTTTCGATTAAAACAAAAAAAGAAACAAATTATTTTAGGTTAGATATGGATAAATCTTTTCTGTTAGCTAATGGATTCTCAAGTATCTTTCATCGTTCTTAGCATTCATTCCTATTGTATGATAGCTAGGAGTAGGAGTATTGAGTTTGGGTCATTTTTATAATGCTGAGATGTGATCATTGGTACTCTGATTTTGTAATTTGTAATCTGATTTTGTTGTACCAAGCGGTGCTCCGGGTTCTTGACATTCATACTTGCATCTGGAAACCAAAATTCATGTTCTCAACTTATTGGCTCATTCTGGTTTGAGTTAGTTTTTAAGTACAGGTCTGGGTTTCTTTATGCTCGGCTCATTTTGAATTCGGGTTATTTCGGCTCGGAGTTTTTAGATTTAGTTATTTTAGTTTAAGTCATTTCAATTTTAGGTAAGACTCAACATTTCAGATCAGATTATTTTGAATTTAAATCATTTAGGTTATGGTACTTGTTTCTTATTATTTCAACTCATTTACCCAAGTAATTTCTATGCTTATGTTGTTTTCGAATTTGTAGACCTAAATTATGATCCAATTAGCTAGACCCTCCCCTCTTTTTCCCCTTATGGTTCTTTTATCCAAACCACATACTTTGTTGCAATGAATTCATTGATTTGAAAGAAAATAAATTGTGTATTTGAAACATCTGATATTATAATGCCTCATTGTTTGTAACCCTGCTTTGTGCAATTCAGGGTGTTGTAATCCACTGATTCCCTTTATATTTTGCTTTCAATTCAGTAACTTATCTAAATACCCTGACAATTACAGTTTTCTCTAACTCAGATCAAAGTGTCATACTGCAATTAGTTGCTACATTGACGACAATTACAATTATCTCCAACTCAGATCAGAGTGCAGATACAATCGAGTTAAAAAAGAGTTTGAAGAATAAATAAGATGAACTCAATAACTATAAGTCGAATTTTGAATTGATTCAAAATCAAATGGAAGCTACGAGATCTGCTTTGTTAGATGTTGGAATTCAAGTGTCATCACTTCAATTTTCAGGTAAACAATATAGTTAATCAAATGAAAATTATTATATAATATTAATTGTAGTAACTAATGTTGATTATTTTAATTTGTAGCTTCAAATGATACTACGAACTCAACATCAACAAAATCACAACTGACTCAAGGTTTGGATTGAGATTGCTACAATGAAATATTCCATAAGTCATATTATTATCATATTATTTTTATTTTCTGTAAACATTTAAACATTTTTATATTTATAGAAATGAAATTATTATGTATTTAGTGAAATATTTGTTTAAATCTTATTATTTTGCAATAAGTAAACTATTTTATTTTTTTTATTTAGATTTGTATAAATAATTTTATTTTAATATATATTGTCATTAAAAATATCATAGAATATAAATTATTTGTGTTTTGCTACAATATCTTTTTCGTCACATATAAGTTGATTTTAATGCATTATTTGTGACAATATAAATTATCAATAACGAAATCTTATTTAATTTAGTGACGTAACCAACTGTCACAGAATATAAATTATAAAGTGACGTTATGCATAAACATCATTCATAATATTATTAGGTAACATTTATATTGCCACTAAAAATGTGACAATATCTTTTTCGTCACATATAGGTTGATTTTAATGTATTATCCGTGACGATATAAATCACCAATAAAGAAATTTTAGATAATTTAGTGACATAATTAGTTGTCATTGAATATTCATTATATAGTGACATTATATATAAATGGCATCCATGCTACTATTAGGTGACGATATACTACGTTACTAACAATGTGACAATTTTCTTTTCGTCACATATACAATGACATTATTGTGTTATTGGTGACGATATGATTTATTAATGACGAAAATGTATATCATTTGGTGACAAAAGTAATTGTCACTGAATGCAATTTAAACTGTGACGTTATCCATTAGCGTCATTATATATTTAACAATACATGACGATAACAGATACATTGTCACTTTTAACATTTAGTGACACACCTAAGGTGACGATCGTCGTGACATTGACTTTTACGTCACAAAATACATCTAATGACATAAATTGAAGTTTTAGTGACAAAAACCTAGAGACCACTAATAAGAATAATAAGAAAATTTCTTGTAGTGTTATAACCTGGGAACAGCACGAGGTTGGTCCCAGTCGGCCACAATGTGGTTTCGAGTGATTTCCTTTAACAAGCGGAAACCACTGAAAGCCATAGTCCGCTCGAATTCATCGCGTAGCATCTGAAGAACTTTCCTGACACCAGCTTTACCTTCAGCAGCGAATGAAAACACCATTGGCCTTCCAATCTGAAACATACCCAATATTCAACTTTAACTCTCTATTCAAGAAAGAGCTGCTACATATGTTCTGCAAGGGAGGATAGGCTAATTGGATCGATGTTTGTTTTTCGCATCTTAAATGTATAAATACTTGCAAATATTCCAGATGCTCCCAGAGCCAATGCCTTGAAGACATCAGTTCCACGCCGAACCCCTCCATCAAGAAAAACAGGAACTCTGCCTTCTGCAGCTTTAACCACCTGTTTGTAAGCCCCAAAAGTTATTACAACTCCAACAGTACTATGTATATATATTTTTTCTTCGGAGAAAGAAATTGCAATTGTAGTTAATGTTTTTGCCTGTAAATACCATCACTAAAACCAGAGAATGGAAGTTGATTTAATAACCTTAGAAGTTTCGGGAAAAGAAAAAGGGGGTGTATGTACCTCTTCCAATGCCATAATAGTTGCAGGTACATAATCAAGCTGGCGAGCTCCATGATTCGATACAATGATGCCTGCTGCGCCATATTCAATGCTTAGCCTTGCTGCAGTACTAACATTGTAGAGTTTCATGGGAAAAAATGAAAAGAAATTTCATTCAGATGGTGGTTTCTTTAGGGTCAGCTTGCTTACCATCCTCAGCAGTAAGGACACCCTTAAGTAGAATAGGCAATGATGTGATTGTCCGAAGCCACTTTACATACTGTTTCATAGAATAGAAACACAATTTGAGAATATATTTCTATTTGAAACAGTACCGGAAATGTAATATATATAAAAGAAACTTACTTTCCAGCTAAGTGTCCGATCAATTTGGTCAGCAACATTGGAAGCAAGTCCCAAGCCAACGGTCTGCAAGATAATCTCAGGATTAGATCAACATACAGGTAAAGTGAACGGATAATGAAAAGCAGACAGTGATTAGAGATATGCCTAGCTCCTACCTTATCCATTTTGCCCAGGTCCAAACCCTCAAAGTTTTTCAAAGTCAGGAATGGAGGCAAAGTAAATCTGCAAAAGAGTACATGAAAGAAATAATGAAAGCAAAAACTAAGACCTCCTTTCTTTTCCCAGCACTTTCCATAGTTAATTAATTTGTTTGCATTTGATACCTCACCTGTTCTTGATATCAGCTTCCCTGCGGCCAAGTCTTGGAGTGTCCACCTTAAGGGCAATTACCTTGAAACCAGCTCTTTTGGCTCTTCTCACAAGCTGTGCAACCACATTCCTGCCTTTGTGTACCTGAACAAATAAGCAGTAATCATTGATTACTCAAAGATTCAGATAATTATATCACAATGCTCACAGCCAATACAATATAGACAATTATAGCACGTTACTTTCGTAAAATAAGATAAAATAAAATACTAATGATGTATTCCAATTATTCTGCCAAACGTAAATATATATTTTTCTTTCAGTGGGAATGAGCATAGCGAGGAGAGGGGTGGCTGAAGCATAAAAACATAGCAAACTAATCCCCAAGAACAAGCAGCCACTTTCTCGGTGCTGAATTATGGGCATGCAGAAACGGCTCAAGAGCTTCTCCATGTTCCTCGAAACTCAAGTTTTTCCACTAATTGTTGGAAGCTTCGACTAATAGTTAGTTTCGGCTTCCGAGTTCATTATCAGAAACGTTATTGACACAATGCCATTCCATTACTCACAAATCTCTCTCCGCCCTTAAGCGCTACCGATCGGAGGATTTCAGCATTTATCATTATATTTTCTCATCATTCGATGATACACATATATGATTACTTGGTAAAGAATGGATGGATTTTTTTATGGAAAACCAATATGCACAAAGAAATAAATTATATAATGTATCGTATTTTTTTGTTATTTTATAAGATTTCATTTTAAAATGTTTAGTGACATATACTAACAACTAATAAGTCATGTATTTCAACAAGTTTATATAGCGAATCTAGCCTTCTATACATTGTAATTTGTCTCACGAATAGTTGATCACATAACAATCAAATTCAAATTATATAATGTAGTTCTTCTAAGATTAAAGACTGAAGATCTTTTTATCCTCTCACTCTTTCTCTCTCTTTATATATATCGACATTCTCACATAAGACATAACCTACTCCTTTCATTAATATTAATTTCCATTAGTTAATAACTTTTCACTCACAAAGGAAGGAGTGATCTATAAATCGTGGGTCTAATTACCTCATTTCTCATCGTCTTAACCATCATTAACTATTGTCTCATCCATTATACAATACATCAACGTTGATGCCGTGATCTTGGATTAATTTATAGCCAAATGAATTATTCATGATGCGAAAACCCAAACATACAAACTCATCCTCAAACTCTAAATAATTAATATTGGTGCGATGATTATTTGATTAATTAAATTTAATGATTGAGATTAAAGCTTTTAAATTAAAGACATCCTACTCCTATATCTTTTTTTCCATAAAAATCTCTTCAATTTCTAACAACATTCATCATTTATTATTACTCATCCAACGATAAAAAAAACATTTCAACAGCTGAATTTCATGTTCTATTTATTTAAAACTTGAGACCATCTATTTCTCTAGAAAGAGTTAATTTAAATCCTCTAATTATTTCTACTAGGTCAACATATTTTTTCGAGGAAATAGTAAATACTTCCGCTACCAAAAAAAAGGTTGTGATAAGAGACGTTCAATTTTCGCTCTCTTGCTATGGTTAAACGATCCGGTTCGGATAATTCGTCCGACCTAAAATAATAATAATCACATAAAATTTAATAATTGAAATTTAAAAATATTAATATTTAAAATTTTATTAGGCGTATAAAACTCAAATTTACACTCATGTAAATGAATCCTTTTCTTATACAGATTTTCACTTAATTTCAGGGAGTGGACTTTATAAATATATTAAGTGGATTTCTCTCTTCCTCTCCTGATCTTTATATATAATTCAATAATTTAATCATAGAAATATATAAAGTTCCCTTAATTTTACACTCATATAAATAAATCATTTTTTTATATAAGATATTCAACCCAAAGTGAGAGATTTCAGTGATTGGGCCTTTCTACAGTTGCCGGAGAAAGAGGTGTAGCCCTTTTAAAATTATTTACCGGAAATGTCCAGCACAAGCATATGTCACACGCGGATGTCTCGTTGTACCTCTAGATATTGCAAAACAGTTTGCATATACATTCTACAACAATTAAATATGAACAACACTCACAGCCAAAAAACTATTTACTCGTGAAAAAAACCTATTTCATGTGGTTAATTTTAAAATGAAGAAAAGCATTCAAAAGGGTAAAACAATAGAATCATTTAAACTTTTCCATTTTATTTATTTATTTATTTAAAAAAAAAATCTTCGAATCAAAGAGTAGATGAATGTATAAAGGTCGATTCTACATTTTGTCCATACACTCACCGCCCCAAACTAAAGTCCATACTGCCGCCACGCCTTTTGATCTTGCACAACTTGACTCTTTTGGCATCTTTCTTCTTTAACTAATGTGATGAGGATAATAATACGTTTTCCATGCACCCTTAATTATACAAAAACCTTCCCTTTATTATTTCTACTGTTTACTTCTTTTTTAGAAGGAGATGGGTGTGGGGGGGGGGGGGTTACCTAACATCTTTATTTACTATAATGGACACGGCTGTGTTGGGTTAATACTAGGTAGAAAACCCAAGCCATTTATAATCAATGACCGTGAATTCCTTTTTTCATTTGAAAAACGAGAATGTATGGCTTTTAGCTTTTTTAAGCCAACATTTGTAGACGTAAAGTTTACTATTATTTTTACTTTGACTTGATAGGGTAAAGCATTGACATGATATTATCAGATTTTTTTCTGATCCAAAACATCATTGTTCAAGGGTGAACCAATTCAATTCAATCCAATTTTTATTTTAGTTTTTAGTTTTGAATTATTCAAATTATTTGAATTAAGGATTCAGATTTTGAGTTTAAATCGTGTTTAAAATTTAAAATTTTGGATAACATAAAATCAAATATTAAAACTATCATCAGTTAAAAAAAATCAAAATTCGACTAGAAAAAATTTTAAATGATAAAGTATGATTTAATTCCATCTCACGTCCTTCAATTGTTACTTACATTTTAAATTGATCTCAAACTTTTAAATATTTAATTTCATCTCTAAACTCTTATTACTATTCTAAACTAATCCTCAAACTTTTGAATATTTTACTTTCATACCCAAACTATGATCTTAATTCTAAATTGGTCCCCAAACTTTTTTGAAAATTTTACTTTTATCCCAAATGACACAAATATATTAATCATATCCATTGTTAATAAAATTGTTTGGTCAAGTTATATTATTATATGATAAAAAAATAAAATATAGGTTTCACTATGGATGAATTTTTATATTTGGATGAATATGTGGGTCAAATTGGAAGATTCAAAATTTTAGGAACTAATTTAGAATGAGAGTCATAGTTTGAGGATGAAATTGGAATGCTCAAAAGTTTAACGAGTAATTTAGAATGAGAATCATATCTTATGGATGGAATTGAAATATTTAAAAGTTTAAGGACTAATTTAAAATAAGGGTCATAATTTGAGGACATATAATGCAATTAACTCTAAAATAATATTCATCATTTTACCAAATCATTTTTTCCTGCTTGTTTTGACTTAATTTTATCAAATATTCCGTACTTGTCTCATCCTAGGGTTGGGAGAGTCGCTATAAGGGTTTAATTCTGTGTTGTTACATTATTGCGATTTACCTAATGTTGTTGCATCTTCACTTGGCTAGATGTACTCTTTTACTCCATTTAAATTTAGGGAGATTTTTAATAAGGCCTCTATGCTAGGTTTTGTATTTTTAATAAATGTCTTAATGCCTGGAAAAAATAATTTGAGATTAAAAAAATAAAATCTAAGGGCACTTGGGTACCATGAATTAAGCCTGCTCTTCCGTGATCAACAAAACATAAATTAATGTTCGGTATAAACAAGCAAGCATACGAAAATTGTCTTTGTCTTGCTGTCTTTTGAGTGTTCCTTTGGTTACTACAAAATCCTATTGCATAAACATATTTAATTTCTTTTAATGATCTGACTGCGCAAGAAAGAGATACGATTGACTAATGACTTATTGCAATGGGATTCTCAAAATCTTCCTTCCCACGAGTTCTTGTTCCCCAAAACTTAAAATTTTATGATAAGTTAATTAAACAAAGGAAAGGTAACAATTTCCAAAAGGACCACACTTTTAAAAATGAAAAAAATAAGATCACAAGGGAATTTTAGTTCAATTATATATATATATACAAATATAAATTATACAAAGGTCTTAGCATTAAAGGAATTATTGTTATTATTTGAGATTCTGAGTTCGAACATCAAGAATTCCAGAGATGTAAGTATTATCTTTGAATAGATATTGTCTTATACTTACTTAAGGTTAATAAAAAAAACCTCATAATTTTTTCCGACTTTACTAATGTTATTACTTGCTATACTTATAATTATGCATATAAAACTTTTTTATTTAATTGTACAATTGTTTTCAAAATAAATAAATAAAATTATTTGTATATAATATATATAATAATATCACATCAATAATAATTTTAATTAATTTTTTAAATAAATTTAACCGATTAAATTTTAAATTTATTAATATTGATGTTATTATAAACGTCTTCAAATATATTAATTAAAGTATAATATTTATGTATTTAACGAACTATAAAAAAGTAGGTTTTATGTAAAAATATATTAAAAATTATAGAAAATAAATAAAAAATAATTCAAGCTTCGATTACGCCATAAACGAGTTTAGCAAATCATGAGATTGATTATTTTAAGTATAAATATCCCCATTATTGTAATGAATGAAAACCAGGCTGATGGTGATAAATATCAATGTTTTTAAAATCGGATCGGATATTGAATCAGTGAAAATAAAAATGGATGTCCCTTTTTTTCCATATGTATAGGGTAAGGGGAGGTAAGATAGTAGGCTACCCCTAACACCAGGTTGAAAGCAGCTTCCGTAAGAGACCTCCGAATTATGAAATGCCATCCGTGGGACTCGATCCCACGACCTCAAGGTTAAGAACCTTGTGCTCTACCAACTGAGCTGGATGGTCATTTTCACCGGTGAAAATACTAGTTTACTGGTTTAACCGGGTTCAACCGGATTTTATATAAAATAATTTTTTTTTCAATTTTACATAATATTCAAAGCAATATTAATATGTATGTAACACTTTTTTTAAGTTTACAATATTAAAAGTTATAAAAATATCACAAGTCATAACATATATAAATTAAAAACCATAAAATCAAGTGAAACAAAATGATTCAAATCAACTACAACATAATATTTAAGGTAAAACATATTAAATAATAAATATAATTATATAACTATAATAAAAAAAATAAAATTGGGGCTTAAAAAAATCATAGCAAATGATGTCATTTGGTTTAATTTTTTTTATAAAAAAACAATCTCACATGGCTAAGAAACATAGAAGAGCATCCCAAAAGTTTAAAGAGTAAAAATATGAGAAAAAAATATATAATCTCACATGGCTAAGAAACATAGAAGATCACCCCAACTTACTTCTATAAATAATAAAGGTAATTTGACATTTAAAATCATGGAGCCTTTTGGTGAACACAAAGCAAACTATTCTTTCGCTTCAATTGAGCTCAAATTTTAGGCTTCAATCGAACTTCTAAATTTTTTTTGAGTTCGAGCCTTTTCGAGTTCAAGTTTTAATATTATATTTCGAGTTCGAGTTGAACTTGATAATTTTTAGCTCGTGAGTTTTTTTAGTCGAGTTGAGCTTACTTTTAAAGTTTTCGAGTTCGAGTCGAGCTCAGCAATACTCGAATTTGACTTGGCTCGTTAAACAAACGACGTCGTTTGGTTTAATTTTTTTTAAAGAAAAAAAAGTGAACCGGCGGTTCAAACCGGTTTTATCGGTTTTCAGCCGGTTCATCCCGTTTTATCGATTTTCAACCAGTTCTAACGATTTTTAGCCGGTTCATTGTCAGACTGATTTTTGTGAAGTAACCAGACCGAACAGATCATCGATTCACGATTCAACCGGTTGAATCAACTGGTCCGATCCGATTTTGATAACCATGATAAATATAGTAATTAACTTTAATATAACAATAGCCCATTATGATCCTAAGAAAACTAGGGTTCGCTGCACGT